TTCCCGCCAATTTTACCATGGATGACGTCATGTATCTTTATAAATTGAAACGGGTATGTATGATGATGATGATGAAGATGATGCTGATGATGATGCTCTTCTGGTGATGATAATGTTTGCGAGTAGAAATTGTAATAGACCCTGTGTAATGTTGTAACAATGATGTATGGCTTCTGTCAACGACGTGATGATGATGACGACAACGACGATGTTATGTTGTGGTTGCTGTTGAAGACGATTATTTGCTGTGATGACGTCATAATTTTTTTTTTCTTCACCAACCTTTAGAATCGCCCATTAAAACTCTACTACACCATCTACAATGCAAGTAATTGTCATCCCATTGATGTGACGGCCACAGTTCGTCGAACGTTTTCGACTGAACGACCACAGCAGCAGCAGCAGCAGCATCAAAAATATCAACAACCATGTCAACAGCCACAAACGCAGCAAAATCAAATCTTACAGAAAGTTAGACAACTATATTCAGAACACATGCTTAAGCAAAATGTCTTGCATAAAAAATGTTTAAGAGAACAAGAAATTTTAAAACAACAACAACAACAACAGCTGCTACAACAGCAACAACAGCTGCTACAACATCAGCAGCAACAACAGCTGCTACAACAGCAGCAGCAACAAATCTATTCCCATCTACCAAGTTTCGAGCCATGCTCTCCAATACAGCATTCAAGCGATTCAGTCAATCAGAACAATTACATCATGACTCCGGATTGCGTTAAAACCGCCGCCGAGTGGCGCTCTCACCAGGGAGGAAAAAGGCAGCAGTTGATGACGTCATCGATGACGTCATTAATAAAACGTAAGAGGCTGAAAATGACCGCTAACGATGATGCAGTGGTTGCTGAAACTGACGATGCAGCGACCGATGTTCTTAATAAAAATATTGCAAATAAACACAGTAATAATATCATTAACGATTACGAAAGCATTGAAAATATGGAAGGTAGTTGTAATACTGCTGTTATTCCTACTACAAAACCAACAATTCTTTCTGTTACTACTCTCGCCACAATAAACGCTGACAACAATACTACCACTGCTACTACTACTACTCCTGCTGCTACTTTAACTGCTTCTACCACTGCTGCCCTGATTGTTACTTCGACTGCTGCTGCTGCTGCTACTACAACTACAACTAATAATAGTACTAGCGTTGTTGGTACAACAACTACGAAGGCAAGTGTTGTAACAAATGCTTTGGCTTCTAAGGTAATCAATCTGAGTGACATTTCGAATTGCGATCTTACAAGTTTATTTAGGAGGATTTCTGTCCAGAAAAACCACAATAACATCAACAACATCCTCAATTACATTAACAAAAATAACAACAACAACAACACAAATTTTATCAATCACATCAATAACATTCATCAAATTAACATTAGTAGTAACAACAACAACAATGTCAGCAACAACAATAACATCACCATCACCAACAACAACAACGACGACTTTAGTAACGGTAATACCGTCAGCTGTAGCAACAACAACAGCATCAACAACAACATCAACAACAACATCAACAACAACAACATCATCAACAACAGCAACATCGAAAACAACAACGAACCAGCAACCAATGTTAACGATGATAAGAACGAATGCGACCAAAATAACATTTGCCAATATGACAATAGCAATAG